TATATATATATATATATATATATATATACTACACACACACACACACACACACACACTAATACTACTACTACTACTACTACTACATTAAATTGTTTTTCATTTAATTAAATAATGCACTTAAGAACACAGATCAATAGCATCCACAAAGCAAACAATGTCCTATAACTATCTGAATTTTTCTAGCTTTCTAACTGAGATAAGATCCATTATAAATTCAGCTAAGCTTGTCACTGTGTTTCCTATGGAAATAAAGTTTGAACTAGAAGAAAACAACATAATATGATACATCATTTGACAGATTAAAACTTGGCTTACTATTGGTTATAAATAATGTAGTATTAAACATCAGAGAGAACTATTAGCAATTTGTGAAAGAAAGGATGGGTGTAGCAAGTGTGTTTCATTTTCTAGTTTATGGTTCTGTAAACAAATAAGATTGAAGGCTATAAAAATTATGCTTTGCCTCAATTATAAGTATATTATAATGAGCAATTGACCTTAAATTCTGTACTTCTCAGAGGGGTGGTAAATAAATTAAAGTGGGCAAACCTAAAGAGAAAATGTCACAATTTTCATATGAGAGGAGATTGAGGTTTTTCTAAAATATTTCCTTGTAAAACTAAGAATTTAAAACTTACATAATATTAAAATTTGATTTATTAACCATGTTTTGATGCCAAGTTTATTTATATATCATGATAATAAAGTACTTTAATTAAATTTTGAATGTAACTCTCGAAAAAGTTGTGACATGCACACTTTGACCTGCCCGTGGCAAGAGGGTTGATTTCTGTTCTCTTGTCAACCCAGATTTTTCTTTTTTTAGTCTACGTACAGCATTTAGTTCAAAAATCTATTATACTCTATTGATATATTTCAAGTTTTATCTAAATTTTGGCAAAAACTAACAAATCAAGAATTTTATGAACTACCCATGAGAAATTTATCACTTAAATCTGACCTTGTACAGCAAACAACCAAGATTAACTTCTGTATCAGGATCATCTGGAGGAGCTTGGTCAACAAGGCTCTAAAAAATGGGGAAAAAAAACAAAAAAACTTCTCAATCTCTAACATAATTCTTAATGTCTCACTTCATTATGTATTTAATGTAACCAAATAAATAACTACAGTGAAACCTCACTGTAATGCAAATCCCGTGATATAGATCCTTACTACCGCATTATATTTAGGCTCTATTTTAGATACACATGAGCCACTATACTTACATTTAAAGGTGATAAAACTATAAGAAAGTCTCTTCCTACCAGGAATCAGTTTTTTTCTGGTAATAGCAAAAAAAATTATTAGCTAGCTTAATCTCTAACAATGGTAAGCTTCCACTAAAATGTTTTTGAAACACCTAATTTTAAGTTCTCTGGAATACAAAGCTAGGACAGTCATGATAGTAATTATCTATTATTCATCAACCACAAGTTGATATTATATAAAGTACTAAATCATAAATTTATAAAATTTAAAAGGTTTTCCAGGTAGATAAAACATTTTTAATAAGGAAGAAACTTTCCTTGTACTTACAATCCTACTTTACCGATGTACATTTTTATTTGTTCTCCCTAATCAAGTCTTTAAATTGGAGCTTAGAATACATGAGAAGGTAAATAATTTTTAACCATCATTATTACCAACTTATTTTATAACAATCACTACTGATTTGCCCACATATTGCATTACATCGAGCATTAAAAAAAAAAAAACTGACCAAAAAGTTGGGTTAAACACCCATTTTCTATGTAAAATACATAGGGGACCTAAGCAGTAATCAGTGGAATTAATTCCAATACTTATAGTATATTTAAATTTTTTTGTGGTAATCTTAAGTTGTAAATGACTCTGTAGCTAACAAAGTCATGGACTTGCAATAAATTTAATATATAAATTGTTTGTTTTAATACAAAGCTACAAAATGGTGTATTTGTGCTATGTCTAATGAAGGGGATCAAATCTCCAATGTTATCGCTGAACCACAAGTGAAATGGTGCTTAAATACATCAGATAAAAAAAAGTACTTAGAAAACCAATTGGGTCCTCACTGGTAATTCTTGAGCCTAACAAAGTTGGCAAATGCTTTGAATATCTAACCTACCTTTGCTGCACTTAAGTCTTCTTCTCCATATTTAATAGCTGCCTGTAGTTTAATAATCTGTAAATAAGAATGTGCACATTTAATAAAGATACACAGAAAACTACAAGAGCTACTACTTAAGACTCATAAGATGCAACTGTTCAAAACCCAAAACTTTACCACATAAACACAAATTATCATGAAATATGTTGGTCATAAGTTAATTGTGCTAACCAAAGAAAATCTACTATAATACTCACTTTTGTCTGTCCTAAAAATGTGAGCACACCTTATTATCTACATGCTCATACACTTCATTTCAACTAATGTAAACAAAAGGCAGATATAAATATACTTTAGTAGACATTTTTGTAAAACAACATATTAAAAGCTTATCAATGTTTTTAAAAGGATCTAATTAGGTCATAGAATAATATTATAAGTTTATCTATTGATAATATTAAGTACGGTAAAGTTTAGCCCTAACTAAAGCAAAAAACCTACACAAGTTACAGTGTTAATTTCTCTATCGAACTTAGGCTGTACTTAATAAAGGTTTAACTAAAGTTTGGCCTAAGACAAATGGACTTGCAGATTTCAGTGTCTGCAATTGAGAATTCTTTTTTATTATTCTATAAATCCTGTATTTAAAGAAGTACTATTACAATAAAGATACTAATTTGACTGCAAATGTTTTGCAGGTATCTGCTAGTATTCTTTATTTAACAAAATAGAAATCTTAAAAAGTGATTAAATTTATAAAGTTTGATTTTACAGAAAAATATTTAACATAGCTTCACAGATTTTGTAATTTGAAGAAGGCTTTTTATCAGAATTAAGAGCTTTACTCCCTCGAATTTTTTCTGTTTTCTAAAGAAATATTTTCTACCTTTTTTAATAAGACATAATGAGTGTCTTTTTTTCCATTTAAGATACATAATTAAGAAATGTATTTCTCATTTAGAACAGCAAAATGTCCTCTAACGTTTTTCTGTTGTTCACACAGGCATAGAAATCATTCAGTTCAGGAATGATATTCCATTTCAATACAGTCATAAAAAAGTGTTTACACTAAAATTGGGGTTTTGTAACTTTTATTTTTTTGTTTCTTTACTTTTTTACCTTAAAATAAACCATTTTTGAGGCCTAAAAATGTTTACTCAATTACATTGTAATCTTCTTATTCATCAACCTTATGAAATGCGAGATTTTGGTAGAAATACTCTTCTCTTAAACCTCTTCAGCGGAATTTCTTAGCCATCATTTCAGCTTTTCCATTTCAGTCATTCACTGCAACCACACCTTCTTACCCCAACAAACCCTGTAATTCCAGGAATCCAGTCCTTCTGAATTGTGTAACTCACTCTATGATTATCAAATCACGTTATGATACTTGCTACACAATATACTTGAATGCTCTAGCACAATGATATATCTTAATATATTCACCTCAAAAACAAACAAAATAACCTGAAGTTATATACCTTCCCGAATAAAACAAAATAATTCCCATACTCTCCAGAAACTTCTCAATTCTCCACAGGTTAAAGACAGCCTCATTTAACTAACTGACTTATCTTAGTAAACTTTCAGCTTATTTGAAGTTTTTAATTATTTTCAAAGCTTGTCTGTATGGAATGTTTTGAGAGTGTAACTGAAAATTTAAATAATTATTGTTTATCTATGGTTTTCTGACTGTGTTAATAGTTAAAATTATTTTTTTTGTAAATGTGACAACGAAAATTCATAATAGTACTTTTCACATTCATATAACTTTTAGAACTGAACTTATTTAACAAAAAAACTTGTTTGAACTTTCTCTTTAAAATATTAGAAAAAGTTGTATTATTTACTAGGTTAATTTTCAGTTTTGATCTACGTGAGTAGCTTACTTGTATCAGCACTTATTGACAACTGCATTATAATGTATGTTTTTAAGAAAATTGAATTCAATAAAATCTTAAGTGTGTAAAATTTGTGTACAAAATTTCCTGAAATTATCCTTCATGCAATTTTCTATGCTGTTCATAAATGCTAATAAGCCTTCATTATTTTTACCAATAATGTAGTTTAGAAAATACACTCAAAACATAAATATTTCTTTAATCTTTATAATTTCTAAGATTCGATAACACAATTTTTAAACACAGAACAAACATTTGAAAACTTTATAAAATATTATAAGATATGGAAACCATAATTCATTTACTTAAAAACTGGCTTAGAACATTAGTTAACAAAAGTTAAGGTAATTGAGAGTTTAATTAAATTTTTAATGCTCGGACAAAATGAAAACATTTGGTAAGAGCTTTATAAAATGGGAATTATTTTCAGTGACAGATGGAATTTTAGGGGTACAAAACCAGTAGTGACCTAGCAGAACTTTTGACTTCAGGTATGAAGGGATATTACACCAGTGGAAAATTCTACTTTAATAAGTAGTTCCTTGAAAAAATCTTCTGGAACAACAAAAGAAATCAAAGTTGGCAAGAAAAGAAAATACCCATACTAATCTGAAAAATATTTGAAGTTTCAAGAAGACTAAAATTAGAGAAAAGAAGAAAAAATGAAAATATATTCAAAAGTGATCATGAAATTGTTTTTTTCTATAGGTATTCATTATGTTTCATCATTTCATATCAAGCTGAAGGCCACAAACAGTAGTCAGTTTCATCAATAAAGATACTTTTTCTCTCAGTTTTAGATTTTTTTTACACTTTGGTTTCTAACATTCTTCCTCATAATCTAACCTTCTTCCACCTCTAGTCCAAGAAAGACCTGAAAGTAATTTTGTCCTTGTTAAATCAAGTATAAAACATACAAGTAACTGTATAAATGACACTTGTACTAAGCTTACTATGATGCAAAATAATACACATTTGATTAATTTTTATACAAAGGAGAAAATCTTTACACTAATTATCTAATTGGCAAGTACTTACCAAAATTTAATATGAAATGACTTAATACATTACATAAATTTAACATTCAAATATACATGTTAGTTAACATTTTCACATTTAACAAGAATGCTAAGTGTAGGCTAAGCATATCTACTTCAGTATTTCCTGGCACAAGTTGTTCAGGAACAGTAGCATTTGAAGTTTCACAATCATAATTTGTTGCTTGGAGGTTAATATAATTTAAAGCAAATGCAGTATCTTGAAAATGTAACAAAGATTAAGTATAAGCATACATACATATAAGCTTAAAATATGAAATACCTTAAATATAACAATGCAGACTTACAATTTATATCCAAGGCTCAAAAAGTAAATTTTAAAACCTCAAGTATATGAAAGACAAATGTAAAGTTTTGAAATAGTTTAAAAGTGATATCTCAGCAAAAGCCTAGTTTTTTACTTCTTAGATCATAAGAATTTTACAAAAGTGAAATAAAAATTATTTATAATCTGATTAAAACAAAACAATCTTTACCCTTACCATTTTAGACCCTTTCTATCATTTCCATGTCAGCTTGGAATAGTTGTGTTCTCATCAACATCAAGCATTGGTGAGTTTGTTGATTAGCATTCAGACAAAACAGGAAGTAGATGGTTAAAGTTGGTGTGTTTAGAAACAAGAATGTTTTCAGCTGCACTTGTTGAACATTGAGTTTTGGAAAGAACCATATATGAGGATTTTCAAATAACAGTGAACTTTCAAATAATTAAGTTCTTGATAACCTGCATATAATCTAAATGTTATTTGCAAATAATCAAGTATATTAATTTCCATTTTCTGATGAAATTATGTATTATATACATTAATAATAGAAATCTTACCTCTGACTGATACTCTTGATTTTCTATTTGCACAGTAACTTTCATAGCTTCCTCATAAAGACAAGCTTGGTACAAAGATTGAGCATAATACAACTTGTACTCATCTATGTCTGGACAAATCAATGTCAATTGTTCATAGCAGTTAGCTGCATTCACAAAATCTTGGGTGAAGTAGTAACAGTAAGCCAACAACGAGAGAGCTGCTCTTGACTAATAAAAAAAGGAAAGAACAATATATTACACAATAACACCAAAAAAAGTTCAGAAACAAATAAAAAAAGGTTTTGTTTATGAATACAGAACCGATATCTAAATTTATGAATGACTCGATACCAATACTGCATGGTATACTAGATATACCGACAGTAGACACTTAACTTACACCAAGTAACCTTTAAACATAATTTTTTATACTTTAAAAATCATATTATCTTCATTTTTCACTCCTCTACAGGTTTACAAAGTTATCAGTATTTTTCTCTGCTTATCAAAGATTTTAGGAAGAAATTATAAATATACTTTACTATAAACAATCAAACTACTAATTTACAGAAAAATGAAGAAAAAAAAGATCATATTGCTGTCTGCCAATCAGAGTAGAATTAAATACTGCCAGTAAAATATATTTGTATTTGGTGGCCAGGCTACCAGTCTTCAAACTTAACATTAGTTTCTGTTTACAGTTTAAAAAAGGTACAAGGTTAAAAACAGTCAATTATGTAGAGATTACCATGAGAATTGATCTCTTAAACAATGTTATGCAAGTTTGTAACTCAGTGCAATAATATGTATAATGATAAAAATCCAATGTACCACATTACCTAAAAAGTTTTCAATTAAATCTAAATTGCAGTATTTATCATTTTTAAAAAATACAATAAAATGAACTCAATTGAATAAATATCAATGATAGTATAAACTGAACCTCAAAATAAAACAAGTAAACATAAACTATGTAATATGTATATTTCACTGGATAAAGAAGTGTTCAGTCAGTCCTTTGGGGAACCAGAGCCCCCAGTATATATAACAGTCAGTTTTACAGTTATCCTCTTTTAGTAAATCTCATGATACATTTTTCATGGAGACCATGCTGAATTTGTGTTCTGAACTAGTCCTTGTTTCTTTATTTATTATGCGACTTTGATGTTAACTGATTTTCTTCACCAAGACAATGATTGTTTGTCCAAAATACAACTGTCTCCATTGCTTATACTGTATATAAGGCAAATGGAAGAAGAAGTAAATGACCGTCTTATACTGAAAGTGAATTTTGGCCTATTTACTTGTGTAGTAGCATTTACACAACACATATGGATCATTCACAACATTAGGTACTAAATACAATGTAGTAACACTGGATTTTAACATTCTACCTGCTGTTCTATGCATTATTGATTGAGTTCACCAGCATGTATAACACTTTTTTAAGACATTAATTTTATAACATTTCCATGAAACTGTAAATTCGTATTCTTATACCCTTTCAAACTTTCAAAGTCTGACCACAGGAAAAACTTATTTCATTAATTTATTCCTAAAATGTTTTTCTCTCCCATACAGGTTAAACAAAAATTGATTTTTCAACTACCAGTGCAAATAAATGTTCTACAGCATGATAAAATCTATAAATCCAAAAGAAAGTTAAAACAGCTGTTACACAAAAAAACTAAATGGTCAGTGTTTCAGCCAACTGATTTCAATTAAGGTCATAAGGTCAAAACAGTAACCCTTAATTTTAGTTTCCTCACAGCAATTCTGGTCATTTCTTGTGTTTATTTGTCAGTGCCAACATCTTTAGAAGATAAATCTTTACCAGATTATTGACACAAGCAAAGTTCTACTGTTAACTTTTTTCCGAGAATGTCACCCAGATAATGGAAAAGGTGTGAACTTATGTATGTGGGTTTTCAAAATACTTCCAATAATGTGCCATACAAAAGTTCAGTTAAGAATATCATATCAGTGGGGTGGAGATACTCATTAACTGGACTGAAGGGTGGTTGTATATTTGTAAATAGAGTCCAGTCAAATTGGAACCTTGTTGCTAGTGGAATGCCTCAGGTTGTCAGTGCTTGGTCCTTTTACTTACATACATTAATGGTACCGACAGGGAAATAATGAATAAATTAGTTAAGTCTGCAATTGGCATTAGTCTCTTGAGTATTTTTACCTGTATTGAGGATGTTGAGGTAATATAGAACGACTTGGATAAATTGGTTAGTTGGAAAAATATTTAGCAAATGACCTTTATAGTAAATACAGGAAAATATTTTTTAGTCATCTCTTGAGAACAACTGATTAGTTGAATGTAATCATTTAATGAGCCCAGTGATGAAGCTATTAGCAAATTTTACTAATTGTCTAACTCTAAAATACTTATAACACTTAAACTGGGTTTTGATACACACAGTGGCCAAAGCAAAGATAGCCCATTTTCACAAATTGTGACACTAATTCTTTATGCTGAACAAACTTTTTTGAAAGTAATAATGAAAAATCATAAAGACAATACTTCAATTACTAAACAGTTGGAATAATCATAAACAGTAATAATCAAAAACAGAGTTGATTATTTTTTGTGACATTGATCAATTTAATCATAATTTTGTTTAACCAATTATTTAATGTGACACTAACTGACGTAATTGTTGCTCATAGGTAATCGATTATATCGACTGATTTGATCACCCAACTATAATGAATTTTAGCAGTTATCTCTCTAAAAAAACTACTAGTCAGGTCTTACTTGGAACACTGTGTACAGTTTTGATTTCCTATCTAATATACGATCCTAAAATAATGACTTACTAGAAAGGGTTCAGATGGCTACTAAGATGATTCCAGGAATGGAAGGGTTAGGAGTATAGGTTAATATCTCTTCTTTTCTCTTAAGAAAAGTTGGATAATAGGTGATTTTACTAAAGTTTACAAGATTATCTGGAAGAATGATAGGATAAAGGCCTCCATTTTCTCTGTGCTATATTGTGAAGGTAATGAGACATGAGGAAACAAGTTTATAATTTGGAAAAAGACAGGCTAGGTTCCAGTTAAGATAGTTATATTTTTCTGGTGTGTGGATCATGTTGCCATCAGCAGTAGTGAAGGCCAGCAATTAACAAGAGTTTAAAAGAAGAATCAATAATTTCCTGAAAAATAAAGGAGTATTTCAGCTGTTAACAAGAAAGTACTGGTCAGAGACAATTTTGAAAGCTAGTTAAACAGCAGAAATGAAAGCCACCAGTCAGTCTGACATAAATAAAATTGATCTTTTTCAGATTCTTGGGCCAGCATGTGAATGGAGGTAATTTGCTGTAGGCTCCTCCTATTTTATTATCAAAAATGTAAAGCATGCCACAATAATCTTGAGGTAGTGACACTGATTGCAGTAGTTTAGGAATAATGTGCTGGTGTTTAAGAAAATTTAAGTGACACTTTTATAGTAAAGTATGTATCGAAAAAGTGTATCTTATGAAATATATTTTTAAATAGAATTTGAAATGCTAAGGGTGACATTTTACTTTTAGACTATAAACTCTTTTAAAACCGGATGTTGTTTTACTAGCATGAACTGTATATCACATGAAAAACAAATGTTTTAGAAATAAACATACATTGAAAATAAACAAAATATGTAGGCTACCTTTTATAATGAGTTCAGAGTCCAAAGAGTAGCTTCACAAAGTTACATTTCTACCCACAGTTTAGTCTAGACATCCTGATAAAATAATAAATTACTGCTAATAAAGTGTCACGACAATCTGTTATTCCTCTACAGGTAGCCATTAGCAAATGATCATAAAATGTTTAAATAAAGTTGCAACAAAACTATAGGACCAATTACAATAAAGTAAATGATATTCAAGTAGCTGGGAATATCTACATTGTTAACATGGTTATATATATAGAAATAATAGCTTTTACATTAATAAATCAACAAAAACAAATTAAGCAATTTGTTTCCACACACAATTTCTTTCTCCATAAATAAGTATATATATTAGTCAGTTTATCAAACATTAAGAGTAAACAGGTGTCAAGCAATGACCATTTTATTTTATGTTGTAACTGGTAATGTAATTAGTAGTCAGTCACTGTGACTAACAGTGGTTTTTCCTAGTAAAAAGACTGGTTTAAGTTTTTACTTTTCCACAAAGGTGGGTATGCAGAAATAACCTCAAAAGATTAAATTACTCCTTGTTGTCTCCATGTTATGTTAAAAAGTTTTGTATTGTACAGCTGTAAGGTTGAGCTAAATGTTTTTGGTTTGTTTTTTTTATTTGGTAAGAAATGCATCCATAACATCTAGTAAATCTTAACTATTGAGATATCATACTTACACTTGGATTACTCTGATGCTGATCATTCAGAACTTCAATTGCCTCCTTGAACTGACTTTCTTTTATCTGTAATACATCATGTATCAACAGTTACAAGTAAAATAACTTTCCACAGCAGTTTTATATAAAAAAATTAAATGTATAAATTTGAAACTTACTATGGTCCTCATTTTTATACCACAATTAAACAAGACCAAAACTATACACAAATGAGGTCTAACTAGTAATTTGTAAAGAGATAATTCTTTAACTTGTAATCAAAATGTTATTCAATACACTCTAGCCATACAGCTAACAACAGAGCACTGCTTTGATGGCTTCAGAGACTAATCCACTGCTATGCCATGATCCATTTCTTCAACCATGGTACTGAGTGGGTTCCAAGTTATATTTTTTAAATGTGTAATTCAAATTATGATAACCCAAATAATTACCTAGCAATACAATTAAAGGTAATTTGCCAAATATTTGTTCAACTTATCAATTCATCCAAGATATTCTGTAATGCTGCAACATTCTCAATACAGTTAGAAATACTTAAGTTTAATGTCAGCAGCAAAAACTATTAATTTACTAATAATGCTCCTATCAACATCACTGACATAAATAATAAAAAGCAAGGGCCCATGCACTGACCCTAGAGGCACTCCACAAATAACAAGGGCTTCATTTGACAGAACTTCATTAATACAAACCTTTTGCTTCTGATCCAACCACCCTAAAATAGAAAATAAACAATATGCTTGGTGCTGACTATGGGTTCAGAAGTTTAAAGGAATATTGCAACATTAACATGTCTACACTTTGATTCTTAGTCACAGGATTAAATATGACTAAGAATGAAAAGTTACAACAAATGTAAATATGCCAAAGAAAGTAATTAGCAATAATTAATGTATCTTAACTAATGAAATAATGTCATTTTATATACGGAAGTGTCATATAATTATTATTAACTATACATAATAAGTTTAAATTATTGTATGGTAAAACCAATTTTGGACAATACACCAAAATGGTTTACAATTACCTTAAATTATTTTTTAAATTTTATAGCATTTACATTAGGCCTTATATAGATGATTTAGATTTATTTATTGCTTCCTGTTGACTGATTGATATTTTACATAAAAGGTTATTAAATGGTAATAAATGAATGTTAAGAGTTGAGAAATAATAAATGAAACAATGTAAAGAGTGAAGAAAAATTATAAAAAATGTAACTTTTTTAGTAACAAAATGTGTCATATGATAGATTTAGTGCATGCTAACAAAACAAATTAATGGAAGTTAAGCCAGCTAAATATCATGTAAATAATCATTTGAAATTAAAATTCCATTGTTTATCCATGCATGGTGTGACATTATTTGGAACTGGAAGGAGCTTCCAGAGAACATATCTATTGCATAAGATGCAATGATGCCATAAGCACAAAGTCTTGATTGTCTCTACCAAATGCAACCATGTGTCTAGTAGGCTAAGGGTGGAAGTTAGAGAGTAAAAGAGCCATAATAAACAGAAAATAATTTCTACAACTGTACATGTCTGTTGAGATAGATATCTGGCACAATGGAAGGCTGATTAACAGTGCTTTTGTTTACAGTAGGTAAGGTATAATCTATTACTTCTTTTTTGCTACTTTCTTTAACAGTATTGGTTATAATGTTTACTATACCTAATCCCATTACTTTTTATCTTTATACTTTTATTATAACGATTGTTTGCATTATTAGCTTAATGTATATATTTAGACCTAACCTAAATCTCCTTATGAGATATTAGTGGGATTATGACTGAAAATATTACCAGTAAGAATACCCAGCTAATGAAACAGCTCTTAAGTCCTTTTAGAGTTCCCAATTCTTTTGTTAACCAGAGACCTAGTCTTCATATAGTTCTGTATAGTTTTGGTGACAAGTTTAAGTCATTCAAGTCCAGAGAGATTACAATGTCATTGGAACAGATGGCTAGTTAGGCCTCATTTGGTGTATTGTGTTCAGTCTTGGGCTCCTTACTTTAAGAAGGGCATTGAATTGTTGGAAAGGGTTCAAAAGAGGGTTACTAGGATGATACCTGGTATGGAAAGGTTGTCATATGAGGATGAGTTAAAATTTGGAGGGGAAACTGATTGAGGTGTAAAATTTTAGGAAATTTATAATGTTGGTTATCATAGTTTTCATACTTAATGGTGAAATTGGTAGGACAAGGAGACACAAATATAAATTTTGGCCAGGCAGAAGTCATCTTCATTGTAAGAAAGTTTCACTTTTCTAACAGAATGGTTGGCTTTTGGAATGAGTTGCCTTCAGATATGGTGGATGCAATAAATTTATGGACATTTAAAGGAAAGATGGATAAATGTTTAAATGATAAGAGCTGGCTCTGAGGTTGTTGTTTTCTTTGATTAGTTTATTGGATAGGAAAGCCTTAATGGACTAATAGGCCTCCTGCTGTCCTTAAATGTCACAATGTTATTTCAAATAAGGCTTCTACACAGACTAACACTGTGATAGACTTGTACAAAGCATGATAAAGTAAAAATAAAATATTACAATAAACTATTAACAAAGGACCTCTAATATTAACAGTAAACCATCTTTGTCTGTCGTATTTCTATTAGTATTACTCAATTTACTGTACTTTTTATTAAATTGCTAGTGAATATGGTACAAAATTATAAAATGTCTTAACTTAAATAATTAAAACCAAAAACAATGCTTTTTCCCCCACAGACTGGGATAAACACTAAGCAGGCGACTTTTACTGTTTTACTTTTAGACATTGAATAGGACTATAGTCATAGGACAGGGTTATCAACACAACCCTCAGTCAACAGTAACTGATTCAATCATTCGGTGATTGTAACTTGTAGGCCTACATCCTTATTTTTTATTTTTATCTACAAGTATAACTATAGTATAAATATAATACTGATAGCCTGAAAAATGCGTCACTAACACGGTGAGAGTGAAAAAGTAGGCTTCCGATTTGTATTACTGCATTAAGTTCTGATGATACACTTAATAAATACTAATAGTAACGAATAAAAGTTTCGTCCTCTTTACAATTACAGTATATAAAAACAAACCATTGTATACACAGCTTTAGTGTACTCTCCATCTCTTATTCTAGCACTGCCCCTTGTCATTTTTAGGCGATTCTTGAAGATAGTTTAATTATTATACACTTAAATTTTTACATCTCCAATTTTATCCACTGACAACAATCTTCCACTTCTAATATTTATGGAATTTTGTTTGTAGTAAATGCCACCTAGCGAATTATTTTAATCCAATTAACTAGTCACTAAATCTTGCGTTAGAATGTAAATTTCAAGTTCAGTTTGTTATTTGTAACTATGTTATAAGTTTTTCTGCCATTACTATACATTCCTATAACTAGTAATTTTCAAAATTACAAATTATAAAATTTAGGTTCCTGCACTTATAAACTCTTGACACTGGATCTGTAGAGGCGATCTATATACCAGAGGACAGTGAAGTGAGTCTTAAATTTGATATAACTTTCACTTTACCAGATATAATAAAAATAAAAATATCTTTGGTTTTTGTGCAACAAAATTTTAGGGCAAAGTCCTATAAATTGTGAAAAAAGTTCTTTATATTTTTGACGAAGAAATGTTTAGATACTTGAGAAGAACGGCTTCGTTTATCATAATTTCCGCTCACAACAAACTGAAGAAACAATTTGAAAGTCATTAGATAAAATTGAACTGTTACAAAACATGCATGCTGAAAGTATTTATGGGATTTGTTGCAGATATTTTTTTTACATTGTTTGTTTAAGTGTCGTTGTAACCAGGAGTGAAATTATCAACAATAACAACAAAAAAAGCAGAGGCATTCAGCTGGGTGAAGTGGACCTGTTTTTCAAAAAGAAAAAAAAAATTAAATTTTCCGCGTTCCACTTTGTGTTAATTTATGGAGTAACTTTAGGGTAAGAGCTGTGTTCAGTATTAAAAATAGGAAAAAATGCAGTGCTCTTTGGTCATATACAGTTAGAGGAGGTAGTTTTTTCATGCGTGTTAGAATGAGAGTACAAAACTTCAGTTACAAACAGGTGTGAAATTCTGCCGGTACTCACCGATATTGATTACCCGAACTTATTTTTCAAGGCGGTACTAGTACAGGGACTTATTTCAGTTGCTTTGTCGTTTTTTATATTTACACGGAGAAACTGTTAGATTTTGTTTAGGCTTATGCGATGTTTATTCAACAGTTACAGCAACAAAAGACAAGATGGCTATATGTTTATTTCATAGTTATTCATTTTCCAGTAAAGTATTATTGATATTAGTTAATTCTGAGTTAAAAATAAAGCAGAACTGACAATTATTAGCTGATGTAGCAGTATAAAGCACATAATTCTTTCTTAGTGCGAGGCTACTTTTGCATTTGTGCCAACTACCATAGAAGCTTCAGCTATTAATTTTACCCTTCCATAGTTATGTTACGTCTCCGTTTTTTTAATTAACTGATTT